ACAATCTGATTTAAAAATGAGGACCTAAATAGATATTTCTTCAAAGAATACATACAGATGACCAACAGACACATGAAAAGATATTCAACATCACTAATCATCAGGAAAATGCAAAACGAAACCACATAAGATATTACCTCATACCTGTCTAAATGGCTATTATAAAAAAATAAAAAGGGAACAAATAACAAGTGGTAGCAGGGATATAATAGAAAGAGAGAGAGAGAAAGAGAGAGAGAGAGAGAGAGAATCTTCCCTCATGCACTGTTGGTGGGATTGTAAATTGGTACAGCCACTATAGAAAATATGGAAATTCATTAAAAAATTGCAAACAGAATTATCATGTAACCCAGTAATTCCACTTTGGGACATTTATACAAAAAAAACAAAAACACTAATAAGAAAAGAGATATACACCCCTGTGTTCATTGCAGCATTATTTACAATTAGAGGCCCGGTACACAAAATTCGGTGGCGGGGAGGGGGGTGTCCCTCAGCCCAGCCTGCACCTTCTCCAATCTGGAACCCTTCGGGGGATGTCCAACTGCCACAGGGATCAGGTCTAAACCAGCAGTCGGACATCCCTCTCATAATCCGGGACTGCTGGCTCCTAACCACTTGCCTGTCTGATTGCCCCTAACCACTCTGCCCAACAGCCTGAGCCCCCTAGCTGCTCCCCTGCTGGCCTGATTGACACCTAACTTCTCCTCTGCCAGCATGATTGTTCCCAACTGCCCTCCCCTGCTGCCCAATCACCTCCTGCGGGGCTTAAGGGCCTGGGGGACTGAGGATGGATGAGGCGGGGCTGAGGCGACTGAGGGACTCTGGCTGGATAAGGTGCACGGCACCTGCCACCCCTTGGTGGGGCTGAGAGGACTGGGGTACTCGGCTGGATGAGCAGGGATGAGGAGACTGGGCACCGCCATTTTGTGGCTGTGGATGCTACCATCTTGTGAGGGTGTGGTAGTCAATTAGCATATCCCCTCTTTATTAGACAGGATAGCCAAGCTATGGAAGCAACCTAGGTGTCCTCTGATAGATAAATGAATAAGGAAGATGTGATACATACACACAATGAAATATTATTCAGCCACCAAAAAAGAATAAAATCTTGTCATTTGTGACAACATGGGTGGATCTAGAGGGTATTATGCTATGTGAAATAAGGCAAATAGAAAAAGACAATTACGTATGATTTCATTTATATGTGAAATCTAAAAAAACAAATCGAAGAACAGACAAAACAAAACAGAGTCACAAACACAGAACAAACTGATGGTTGCCAGAGGGGAAAAGGGTAGGGGAGTGGGTGAAAAATGTGAAAGGGATTAAGAGGTACAAAGTTCCAGTTATAAAGTAAATAAGAAATGGGGATCTAGTGTATAGCATAAGGAATGTAGTCAGGAATATTATAACAACTTTGTACGATGACAGATGATTACTAGACTTATTGTGGTGATCACTTAGTAGGGTATATAAATGTCAAATAACTATGTTGTACATCTGAAACTAATAGAAAATTGTATGCCAACTATACTTAGATTTTTTAAGTGGTTAAAATGGTAAAAACTATTTGTAAAGAAGGTAGATCTCATGTTACGTGTCTTTACCACAGAGGAAAAAAAAAAAGAAAGAAAAGAAAAGATTCAACAAGTATTTTTTAAAATAGTGGTGCATATTATAAAAGATGGTGACTTATATTCAACAAAATACAGTTAAATAATGACCCACTACTCAAGACCAAGAAGTTTGCTAGGTACCTTTCATATGTCAACTCATTAAATCTTCACAAATATTAAAGTAGATATTTCTTCTGTTTTATAAATAATCCCTTGCCCTGGTCACAGTCAATGTGTGAAAGTCTGAACAAGGACCCAAGTATCTACTCTGCTCCTCCCTAGCTAGGCAAATTTCCCTGAGGCCAGAACATTAGTCAGAGTTTGCAAGGTCAGCCCCTGCCACCCTAACCTCTTCCTCACTCCCTACTCATTCCTCCCCACCCAGTGATGAGGGCAAGATGCTGGAGTTTATCCCTCAGGCTAATGACCATGTCCTGTGCAGCCTTGGGAGAGCACTACCCTGACCATAACTAACTGTCTTCCCTCTGCCTTTCAAGTATCACCTTCCAAAACTAAAAACCTAAAAGGTAGGCCAGGTCTCTGGATTTTCTGCAACAGCATAAAGCACAAATCTTTTTTATTTTGGCCAAACAATTGCGAAATTCTGTGCTCCACCTTTTTTTTTTTTTTCTTTTCTTTTTTTTTTAAATATTTTATTAATTTTTTACAGAGAGGAAGGGAGAGAGATAGAGAGCTAGAAACGTAGATGAGAGAGAAACATCGACCAGATGCTTCTTGCACACCCCCTACCAGGGATGTGCCCGCAACCAATGTACATGCCCCTGACAAGAATCAAACTGGATTGCAGACCGATGCTCTACCACTGAGCCAAACCAGTTTCAGCTCCTCCTTTCTTATGACCTAAATACCCAACTCTACCATGTATTTCCATTGTCAACCACATAGCAACAACCCCAGGAAAAATAAGGGTAAAAAAGTCACACGAAGACTCACGGATGGAAAGAACTGCAGACTATCTCTAATATCTTCAGGTTCTATGGGCTGATGATGGTTAATCTTAAACTTGGAAAGGATGTAACAAGGTGAGCTGGGCATCCAAGTTAAAAAGCTACAATGGATGTCATGAACTGGAAACCTAAACTTATCTTTAGTCATATGAAACTATCTTCAATTAATGCAAGTTGGGCAAAGAAGGAAATAGCCATGGGAAAGAGGAAAATACCTTAATTTTATAATTTTAGCTTTATCCACCTAGTTAACAGAATCAAATCCAGTAAATGTGTTGTTATCCCAACTTCCTTATCATCAATTTAAAAAAGAAAGGAGGAGAGTGCAATATCCTAAGGAAATTGAGTTTCTTTTCCAACATGGCACACACAGGCTCTCAGAATTTCAGCTTAAATGTAGAATCTAGGCTTCCTAACATCTAGACATGAGAGTAACACTTAAAGAACAACAAACAACTTATTAAACAACATATTGGCCAACAATAAAATTGACACATAATACAAACTGATACTTTTTGAAGAAAACAAAGATGAAATAATGAATTATCTATTTTAGACTTTAGTTTATTCAAATACTACAATTTTCCATAGACATAGGGCCATACTTAATTATGAGCACAAGCTAACTCTTAAATATTATGTGTATAGGTTTCCATGTGCTACCAGTATTAAATTAAAAATTATACTCATCTTTTCAAAATTAAAAAACAGAAAACAACTTTTTTTGCAATTATATTACTGTGGTTTAGACTCAACATTAATTTGCATTTGGACTTCACCTGATAGACCACTGGCTGACAGTCTAATTTTTCCACTAATACAAGGAATGAATCTAGCCCTAGCTGGTTTGGCTAAGTGAATAGAAGGATAGCCTTCGGACTGAAGGGTCCCAGGTTCAATTCCAGACAGGGCACATGCCAGGTTGTGGGCTCAATCCCCAGTAGGGGGCATGCAAGAGGCAGCCAATCAATGATTCTCTCTTATCATTGATGTTTCTTATTCTCTTTCCCTGTCTCTCTGAATTCAAGAAAATTTTTAAAAAAGGAATGAACCTAAGTCAGGAGACTGCTTGCTACAATAGGCAGGCAGAATAACATGGACCTGAAATGACAGGGTCAGATAAGTAGAAATAAAAAGAAGCAAAAGTATATGAGGATGGTATCCAGATTTCAAGTCTGAGCAAAGAACAAAACAATGATGGCAATAAAAGAGATGAGAGAATGCAGAAAAAAGATGGCCAAGAAGTGGGAATAAGAAAAAGATTTTGTTGAGTCTGCTGAATTTGATATGTATACATGACATCCACAGGGGTATGTCCAACAGGATGTAGGTAATGACTCACATGGTCCTCAAGGGAAAAGTCCAGAGTAGAAGCAAATAAACCCTAAGAGATAACTGTTGAAATGGGAACACAGCGATAATACCAAATCACCAAGAGAATGCACACAGTGAGATGAAGGCAAGATAGAAGGGGCCCAAATCTGCAGTTGTCAGCAATGGGAAGAATTGTGAAAAAGGCAAAAATAGAGCAGGTCAGAGAAGCAGAACAAACCAAAAAAATCCCAGAATCTATGCTACTACAGAAAACAGCCACCAACATCAGAGATTTCAGAAAGAGTCAAGTTATCGTGAGAAGAAGGCCATTGGATTGAAGAGGGGACGGAAGGAGAGGCCGGCATATCAATCTTCCTTACTATGAAGTCATGGGGGTTGGGGGGAAGAGCCTAGGGCTATAGCTTGAGAGGTAGAACCAAACCAATATTATTTTGTCAATATAAACCAGTATTATTTTGTCAACCATGCATATCACCACATTAAAAGAAAAGGCTTCGGTAATCCGGCACAAGCACATAAAAACTTGGATCTAGACACCAACCATTCAGCTATTAAAATTCACCATCACCCCCCAAACACACACATACACCCATATACACACATACACTCATTTCTATATGATAATGACTTTTTAAATACTACAAAAAGAAAATGTACATTTTATTAAAAGTGCAAAGGATTGCATGTCATAAACTATATATTTTGAAATACACCTTGTAAGTTTTATGTCAACATTTTACTCAAGAGAATATCTCTTAGTTTTGAAATGCCTTGCTACTTTTATGTCTGTGATCTAAATTTGGCACTAACATGAGTCATTTCAGAGGGGAAAAAAACATATCTTAAGTTATAGGTAACTCCAGAATTGTGTTGAAATGTTAGGAAATCATTTACACTGTGATACTTATATTGTGAAATAGTCCTTAAAAGCTTTCAAATATCAAAGATTTTTTTTTATGCAACAGTGCTCTTTTCTGTGCAGTGTCTTAGCACATGCTTACATAAAAATATTGTTTTTAATCATTAAATAAGCTACAAGGTTGAAGTAATGAAAAATGGCCATGAAAGCATCAAATACCTGAGGTACTCACAGCTGTGGAGTAGGGATTATGAGCTCCAGTATTTTCAGCCCAGCAGCCACATCCATAAAGAGCAGCCTGGGAAAAAAGAAAATAGATAAATATAATATTACAGAAATATTATAAGTATCTAGAGGCCCAGTTCACGACATTCGGGTTGAGGAGGTCCGGGGGGGTCCCTCAGCTTGGCCGGTGCCCTCTCGAAGTCCAGGAACCCTCGGAGGCAGTCGAACATCCCCCAAGGGGTCCTTAAAACTAACATGGAGGTGGGAGAGGCTCTTGCCACCGCCGCTGCGCTCGACAGCTGTGAGCCCAGCTTCTGGCTGAGTGGTGCTCCCCATGTGGGAGCACAGTGACAACAGAGAGCAGCTCCTGCATTAAGCGTTTGTCCCTTGGTGGTCAGTCCACGTCATAGAGACTGCCCATTCCATGGTTCAGTCAATTTGCATATTAGCGTTTTATTATACAGGATTACTGGGCAAACAGTAATTTCAACAGAAGGCAAAATCATACCCATCTAATAAATTTTGTAATGATGTATAACAGCCAGGAAATAATACCAGAGGTTATATAAAACCTATCCAAATAACATTCTAACAGTATATTTTCAGTTATTGCAGTAATCTAAAAATTTTCAGAAAATAGCAAAAGAATGTTTCTTAGTTTTATCAATAGTAATTTTTCTTCGCCTGAAAAATCTTCCCCCATTGTAATTTGTCAGCTAATCGCTCTTCTGGCCCCTTGAAATCATTATGGTTGCCTTACAACAGTGGTTCTCAGACCAGGTGTGTGTCAAATTTTGGGGTGAGCATGGTGACAGGAGCCTTTGGTTCCCACATACTCTAGGTCAGTGGTCTGGGGACAAGGCCAGGAATCGGCTACATTCATCAGGGCCCTGGAAGACTGTGATGCCAATGGTTCTTCTGCCATGCTCTAGGAAACCCCACTGAGGAGGACCTTTCCCATGCCTCCCTTGGGTGGAACAATAGGAACTGCAAAAAATTATGTACCAAAGGGCCCAGTATTTGTTCACCATTGTGCTAGATTCTGCCAGGTATAAAGAAAAGAGGAAAAAGAGCCTGTTTAAGGTAATAACTTTGTGAAGTGTTGGGGCAGCGTTATAATTCTCAAACCATTAGAAACGCAGTAAGTTACAATGATTTTATAAAAGAATGGGTCAATCATTCCAATTTTGTTTCTAATTAATGCTACCCAAAATGTCTGGATTCATTTCTTCAATATCCACAACCACTTCTCTACCTTTGGAAAGGAAATCACATTCGATAATTTTCTACTCTTTAGTTAGAAAAAAAAACTTAGTTATCTAGAAAAATACAACAATGTGAAATAGCACATGAGGATGAAAAACTGAAAACAACCTAAATGTCAATCAGTAAGGAAATGGCTAACCTGGCATAGCAATATGCGGAATTCAATACAAAGTTTAAAAAAAATTAAATTAGTTCCCCAAAAAGAAGAAAGAGGTAACCCATGATAATACATTCAGTATTCAGATTGACTGATGGAGGAAAAAGATATTCCCATAAAATAGTACTGTTATTTTCTAGGAGCTCACTTCTGAGGACTGGAGAAAGAAGACTGGCAGTGGTAACCAAATGTTAGCTTTCTATTACATTCTATTCTTTCTCACAAGGACTTCAGAACTCATTTGCTCTAATATTCTACCAAGAGCAGGAATCTCCAAGAAATATCCCAGACACTTCTGAATCTGAGAAGCTCGCTATCTCATAAGGGAACAATCCCCCTTTTGGACACTTCCCATTGGCGGAAAGTTCTTTCTTCAATTGCGTAGGAATATCTGCTCTATCATAACTTTCACCCACTAGTACTGGTTCTATTCTCTGGAAATGTACTAACTTCCTCCTAAAGATCTCTGAATTTTTAAAAACAGCTATCCTAGAGTCCTGATTATTCTTTTCTCACTCGAAGAATACTAGATTTGTAAACCGTTCCTCAAGACTTTAAAATGTACACACACACCACACACCCACTCTCCTAGTCACCCTCCTTCAAAAATAATACAAAACCAAGGAAAATTGGAAATGAAGTCTTGTGACCCACAGTTGCCATCCCCAGTTGTCATGAATTTAGCCCTCTTAAAAGTAAATCTAGCCGACTGGTTTGGCTCAATGGATAGAGCGTCAGCTTGGGGACTGAAAGGTCCTGGGTTCGATTCTAGTCAAGGGCATGTACCTTGATTGCGGGCATATCCCCAGTAGGGGGTGTGCAAGAGGCAGCTGGTCAATGACTCTCTCATCGATGTTTCTAGCTCTCTATCTCTTTCCCTTCCTCTCTATACAAAATCAACAAAATATATTTAAAAAAAAAAAAAAAAAAAAGTAAATCTGATCAAGAACCTCAAATCTCAGAGGGAAGGCAGCGAAGGGTGGGGGGAAAGGGAAGAGATCAACCAAAGGACTTGTATGCATTCATATAAACCTAACCAATGGACATAGATACTAGGGGGGTGAGGGCACGAGTGGGGGTAGGTGGCAATGGGGGGATAAGAAGGACACATGTAATACTTCAATCAATAAGGAAAAAAATCTGAAAGTTTAAAAAAAATTCATACTAGATCAGAAAAGCATCCTCTATAGGAATTGCATTAAAGCAATCTTTAATGTAGAAACATAAAAGATGATTTGAATAAAAAATTGGATGTGCTAATGGTGTCACATATCTTTTCAACATACTATTGATAAAAACCATTGAGTTATACACTTTAAATGGGTGAATTATATAGTATGTGAGTTATATCTCAATAAAGCTGTTTTAATAATAAGCAAAAAAAAAAGTTAAAACAAGAACTGAACACAACACTTCCAATATAGCAGACAATAGAAAGATATTACTGCCGTTGAAAACACTATGCTTCCTAACTACATAAGACGGCTGGTCAGAGTGGCAACTGAAAGTCTACAGAAGGGATTTGGCACATGAATTTCATAAGAAAACTGGCAGACTTGTATGATAAGCCATTCTGGCACTGCCTAGGACAGTTGCTGGGTCAGCCAAAGCCTCAGAGAACACATGACCTCAGGAGAAGGGCCCATTCTTCCTTCATTGAAAACCCTGGACATTAGCCCATTGTCCTTCCATTCCCCCTACACACCACACACACACACACACACACACACACACACACACACACTAAATAAGGGCACAAGGATACCTCTTAGAAACCCAGAACACTTATTCTTACTCTTCTTTCTTCTAAGAAAATTCCCTTTGGGCTACTTCTTCTCAATTTTATGACCTAAAGTTGTCATTTTGTAACTTTCTGAAATTGCTTGGGCTAAGAAACAGGTAAGATAAAAGAATCAGAGATTGTCTCTCAATTATCCAGTTCTTTCTATAAAATAGAGCAACCTTAAACAGGCCTAAAATAAATAATTTTAAAAGTTTCCTTCTTTTTGGTAGTAAATTTTATTGAAGCTATTATCATGCAGTAAAATTAGGTCATATAAATTATATTACTATTATTATTATTATTATTTAATCTTCTCTGAGTTTTAGTTTCCTTTTATATAATGAGGATAATAAAAACACCTCCCTCCTAGTGCTGTAGTATCATGTGAATTAACATGCCAGTCACACATAGCATAAACAGAAGCTATATCATGTTATCATGAGGGAGTATGGTAAGTAATTTAATGAATTATGTCATTTAATCTTCTAGAACTTTGGAGAAAGTAGCTATTTGTCTCCATTTCTAGCTGTGAAAAGTAGAGCTTAAAGACATTGAATACTGTCCATAGTAAGGAAACTGGTAAATGGAAAGGTGGAATTAGATTAAAGGTCCATACTTTTAAGCACTCAACTTAACTGTCTATTTGTATTTGAGTAGGGGGGAAGGATAAGGGAAGCAAAGAATATAATAAATTTCATGCTCATGTCCCAGTTTTACATCTAATTATTTTAGTAAACTGAAGAAGCAAATAAGTTCTCATTCAAATTGCCATTTTGTAAAAGAATGAGTAAATCATTCCTGTTTTGTTTCCAATTAATGCCACCCAAAATGTCTGAACTCATCTCTTCAATATCCACAACCACTTCTTTACCTTTGGAAAGGAAATCACATTTGATAATTTTACTTAGTTAGAAGCAGATTTATTTAAAAACGTAAACTGTTATTATATATCTAAAGAAGGGTAATATGCTAAAAAAATTTTAAATATTTGTACATTTAAATATATTTAACAGTATCTAGTTTTAGCACATTTAAATTTTGCATGGCCAAAACTGCTTTGGCTCAATGGATAGAGAGTCAGCATGTGGACTCTAGGGTTCCGGGTTCGATTCCTGTCAAGGGCATGCACCTTGGTTGCAGGCACATCCCCAGTGGGGGGTGTGCAGGAGGCAGCTGATCAATGTTTCTCTCTCATCGATGTTTCTAACTTTCTATCCCTCTCCCTTCCTCTCTGTAAAAAGTCAATAAAGTACATATATATATATATATATATATATATATATGTAAAAAAAAAAAAAAGAAAGAAGTAAATAAAAAAATTTGCATGTGTATTTTATCATACTCTGTCCTGATTATCAAAAGGAACAGTTCTTTACCTCTCATCTGATGTTTACATATTTCCAGGCTAGGCAAATTACATCTCCTTTTCCAAGCAATATAATATAATTAAGCAGCTGTATTTTGCTACAAGTACCTTGTCTTCTCTCCTCCACACCCTTTCCTGAGTTTTCATCTCTTACAAAATGTGCATTCATAAACTAGCCAAGTGGAGCAAATAAACATTAAGCTTTACGGAAGTATTTCTTTATCCAGGAGAGTCCTCTTTGCAGTGGCAGAATGGCTTCAAGACTACTTAATGTAATATCCTGCTAACACAGTCCAGAACTGTCCTTGGTTCAGTTGTTGCTATTTATTAACCAAAACAAACAAAAAAACAGTGAGAAAGTCATGGGAATTGCAAAGCTATGAAGGGGGCTTGCTGGCTTTTTCTCTCCTTCTTCACCAAGGCATCCAAAACTAAACTGATATGCCAACTTTGGTTTTCTTATTCCAAACTCGACAAATACACAGGACTTTATAATGTGGAAAAATACCATGATCAGACAAAGGCTTTTTATAATGAGTTCAAAGCATTGTACACATGTTGAGTAATAAGTCCCCATAAATCCCCTTCTACAGTAGACAAAGAATTGCACAAAATTAATTGTTCTTCCCTTCCTTTTCCCCCCAAAGGACCACAAGTAGTTTATCCACAATAAGGGGCAGATTAGGGAACACTTGAGGCTTTGCAAAGATGTCCTCCATGAATCAGATCACTCTGCTACTAGCATTCACTAACCACCATGTCCAAAGCAACTGTGGCATCAACTCTTCTTTAAACATGAGAAATAAAGTGAAAGAGCAGCAAAGTAGTGCTCTACATGTAACATAAGATCCAAATACTGAGCTTAACCATACCCTTGCAACTACTTTAACAGATTCCATGATGGTGTCTGATTCATTTGTTCAGTTAACAAATATTTATTAAGCCTATAAGCAATGTGCCAAATTGGTTTATACTACTCAGAAAGCTTCCTAGATCAAAGACTGTTAAACTTTATCCTCAGTATAGCCCTAGAGGCTGATGATAGGGGGCAAGAGGAAGGGGAAGGGCGAAGATGTGCAAGTGAACTGGAAATAAGCCAGTTGCACATACATTAGACCCTCCTTATAAACAGATTTCTTGAATGGTATCATATGTGGTAACCTGAAATACTGGTTAGTCTATAAAATAGCTGATATGCTTAATCAGAGGAGCAATCTAGGGGATAAAATGTTCCTTGAATGGAAGGAATACAAAATGTAACTCTAAAATTACTTTCCCACCTAAAAAGCAAGCAGTAATAATAGTCAGGCAGAGCTTGCTCCTAAAAAGAATGACACTTACAAAGAAAGAAAAGGGAAATCAACACACATTTATTAAATGTCTACTATATGCCCAGCATGTCCAAAGTAGTAAAACACAGGATTAGCAGTGGTAAAGATCAGAAAGAGCCCTATTACAATGAGAATTTATTTTAGAAAGAATCTTTAAAAGTTTTTGACTGATGATTTATGCTACACTAGTAGCCCTGCGCACAAATCCGTGTGCCAGTAACTTGTCAGTAGCTCACTGCTGCCCTCCAGTAGCTCTCCTTCTGCTGCCCTGCCCTCCTGTAGCTCCCTTCTCTCCCCCCAACCCCCACCCCACCCCCCTTCTCCTCTACTCCCACCCCCCCCCCTCATAGCTTGCTGCCCTACCCCCTCATGTAGCTCTCTGCCCACTTGTAGCCAGCCAGTAGCTCACTGCCCCACCCTCCTGCTGAACTGTGATCCGGTCATTATGTGGTTGGTCGGTGTAAAGACATTTGTATATTACATCTTTATTATATACGATAAATGTTAAAGAACAATATTTTTTTTTCTAAAGAAAAAAGATCTCTACAGTTTAAAATTTGTGAGTTAGAAAATGGCATATTTTAACTTGTAAAGCTAGTTTAAAAACCCAATGACTCACCTGTCCAACTCTCCCCGGATGTTTCAAAGCCAAGCCTCCACTGGAGACAGCAGCAGCAACATTCCCTTCGTGATCCACAACCACAGCGCCCACTGTGTCCAAAGTGCCTGAGTCATTCTCCTGCAGAACAAATGGGCATTCATAAGCATGGTGTGTGACACTGTGATATGACTACATAATAATTTCTAGTAAAATGGTGACATAAAATCTGAGCTAATCCTTAAGTGAAACATTTAGCAATCTCCTAAAGTGATCTATTATCAAGTTGCCATTTAAATTCTGTTCAAGCTGACCCGGTTTGGCTCAGTGGATAGAGCGTCGGCCTGCAGACTGGAAGGTCCCAAGTTCGATTCTGGTCAAGGGCATGTACCTTGGTTGTGAGCACATCCCCAGTAGGGGGTGTGCAGGAGGCAGCTGATCGATGATTCTCTCTCTCATTGATTTTCTAACTCTCTATCCCTCTCTCTTCCTCTCTGTAAAAAATCAATAAAATATATATATTTTAAAAAATAAAAAATAAAAAATAAAAATAAAAATAAATTCTGTTCAAGACAATATGTTTTATCCATTGAAAAATCCTAAACAAAAGCTTTTTTCTCATAATAAGTCTAACTTGCCTTTCTAAGGGAGGGAAAATTTTTTAATGATTTATCATATAACACAGTGCCTTCCCAGTCTCAAGAATTAAGTTCATATTTGAGAGTTTGCAGAGGAAAAGATCTGTGGCATAAGTGAAATGCGATTATTAGTATTTTGAAATTATATACAAATTTCTAAAAGTAAAAGAGTTAGCATAGTAAATATAAAGAATGGTATTTAAAATCTCAAAGTATGCTATATTGTGCTATAATTTTCTTTTCTAGTTCCTTGCCTGTGAGAAACTTTATGGCAAGGCCCCACCTCTGCTCTAGCAATATGCTTGCCAATTGCATGTCAGAAAAATATATGTTCTTGGGAGGCATTTTTGTGTTTCTTTGTCTTGTCCCAAGTCCCATATGCTTAAAGGCATTTCACATGGAATGACTAAAGCCAGCTCACTTCCTATCTTGAAGATTTCTGGGTCACCTGTGCAAGAAAAACTGTATTACGGGATAAAAATCAGAATGGAGACAGGTAAAGATATCATGGGAAAAAATGTATTTTTTTTCTATAACAGCAGTCCTGGTGGTGTTCTTAACACTAGGACATTGGTTTCCAATTGTGTGCTGGAACCTAAGACCTCTATCCTCATCCCCAACCCCAAATATAAATGAAAGAGCTCAACATAGGCAGGTTCAACAAGAACAGCCCCTCCGCCCGTGTGGCTTATGCTCACACACCTGAGCAAAGCTACATTTGTACAGAGGGACCCCTCGCTAAGAAGTTTTGAAATAAAATCCCCAGAAAAGTCAATGAGCTCCTACAGCCATCTCAGAAGTTGAGCAAAATTGAAGGGAGTTTTGAAATAACTAAAGCAAAAGACTTTTCCTTAAAGCAAACTGAAAAATTTAGGAACAGAGTATGCCACAACAAATATTACATTAAGTCTATTAGGAGAAGGTACATCTAGGCATTTGCATTTCTTTGGTTCTTGTTCGGAATTCTACTTCCCCTTAAATACAGTGATATAACAGTACATACCTTGATGGAAAAGGCATAACTGACTGAAATGAGTTACTACTCTCCCTTCACAGGTGGAAGAAGCCTTGCCAATGGGTCTACAAGGCCATATCCCAGACACCATGGTTCTGCCGGTGACAGGTTTCCTGACTTTCTAGGACAGTTCCCTATCCTGATTGTAAACTCTCGGAGGAAAGATTAGATCCACTCTGTTTCATTTTGCACATGGCAGACATTCAGGACATATTTATGCATTAATCAGGATGGAATAAAGTATGTCTGCATCCCTGACATCACAAAACAAGTCTAGCGAGTGATGGTATACGCTATGCCATTCTAATGCCTGGGCCACAGTCTTCCATCTCCTTTTCTCAAGACTCAATTTCATTCAAATTCAGAGGATACCACTTCTTAGGGGAAGACTTAACAATAGCCAGGGTTGCTCACTTGGTATGGATGAAATCAAGTTTATCTTTTTTGGTGAATAAGATGAAAGTATCAAAGTGAATGAGTAACCTTAAAGAGAAATGTACTTTCAACTTATGTTTCATTATTCTAAGAAATAACTCCTAAATCTTTATATCCCTGCAACCTCAGATAAGAAATTTTGGCTTCTTGTCCAGATACCAAGTCTTATGTTGTCTACAGGAAGATCTTTCACACTGTAATGTGCCCAAATGGATACAAACCACCTGGAGAATCTGTTTAAGTGCAGATTCTGATGGGAGAATCTAGGAATGGTCCAGACTGTACATCTAACCACCTCCCAGTAATGCTGCTGTTGTTGGTCCATGAACCCTACCTTGAGAAGCAGGTATGATGGCATCATACTGGATCATTATCACCCAAATGCCTGTTCTGAGGCAAATAATTTCATAGGCACAAAGCTGCTGAATGGGAATCTTAAACCACCTAAGACTAACATATGTCAGCATAAAAGATTTAAACTCCACCTTGTTCAACTCTCAATTGGCAGTGTATCACCATGATCACCCCGCCATGAACATATTACAAAGTATTTTTTTAATTTCTTTATTGATTATAGTGTTACATATGTGTCTTTATTCCCCTATTACTCCCCTTCCCTCCACCTCAGGCCCTCACCCCCATCCCCCAAATTGTCTGTGTCCATTGGTTACTAGGCTTATATGCATGCATAAAGTCCTTTGGTTGATCTCTCCCCCTTAACTCCACCCCCCTACCTTTCCTATGAGGTTTAATGGTCTGATCAAGGTTTCTCTCTCTCTGGATCTATTTTTGTTCATCAATTTATATTGATCATTATATTCCATAAATGAGTAAGATCATGTGATATTTATCTTTTTCTGGCTGGCTTATTTCACTTAGCATAATGCTCTTCAGTTCCATCCATGCTGTTGCAATGGTAAGAATTCCTTCTTTTTTACTGAAGCATAGTATTCCATTGTGTAGATGTACCACAGTTTTTTAATACACTCATCTGCTGATGGGCACTTAGGCTGTTTCTAAATCTTAGCTATTGTAAATTGTGCTGCTATGAACATAGGGGTGAATATGTACTTTCTAAATGGTGTTTCTAGTTTCTTGAAAAGTATTTTAAATTAATAATTTTATGTGTGTGTGTGTTTTTTAGAAATGGACAGCTTTCATACAAATAGACACTATAAAATAATTCTGCTCATTGACAACAAAAAATGTTAAGAAACAGTATTTTTTTTAATTTTTCCCCATTGTACTTGTTTTCTCTTTTACTTGTTTCTGTTCTAATTTTTAAATTTAATTTTATTTTATTTTACAGTTGATAGTATCCTTTATTAGTTCATCTTTTATTAACTGAGACTGCTGACCCTATCCAAGCATTCTATAAAACAAAAATGTTACTGCAGGAACACATAACATCTATACTGTGATATACACTATCTGTTAAACAATTCTCTTTGCATTTCAATTAGGATAACATGCACTATGAGAACACATATGCCTAATCAAACTACTGTTGAAAGATTCAAAAGGATTATACATAGATTTACTGTAACTTGGTTTTTAAAAAATAAAAGACCAAGCAAAAAAATAGGGAATACTGTTCTAAATTAAGCTAAATATTCCCAAGGGCTTACAACACCTGCAAAAATCAAGATTGCTCCATAAATATTCAAGAATTGGTTCACAGATTTCACATACTGAAAAGCAAATTTAAAGATGATGAAGTAATATTTAAGCATTTTTATGAAGTGCAGATACAGTGAGTGAAAGACAAACATTGGTATTTTGGCCCTAATAATTTCACACTTGTTTATATAGAAATGAAATTGTAGAAAGTTTAAAAAATACACAATGACTGTTACTATATAGAACTACTATTATGCTCTTACACTCCATAAATACTTAAAAGCATATGCACCACACAGATTTACATGTACCTATTGTCCTTGACTAAAACACACTATTTGCATTACTTCCTTGACAAAATTGTGACTAAAAACAACTATAAAAACTATGGTTCCCTTAGAATAAATATATGTATGTAAAGTTAGAATAGAGAGTACATGTGTCAAGGAAAACGTTGAAATAAGGCTTTCTTGAAGTAACCAATAAACTACTAATCACTGTTGGGCTTAATGTCAATAGATTTATTTTTCTCTGCTCCAAATTGGAGATGACTATTACACAGTTATGGTAAGAATTAGATTAAATAACACATGTGAACTAGTTTAAAAGCAGGGGGAAATTCCTTAAAACAAAGTTCAGATATTTCCTACCAGAAAATTAAGCCTCTAACCTTCACTCTAATTCTGAAATTAGGCAAAAGACACTATCTGCTACTTACCTCATTAACTTGTTTTTTCTTCTATACAGAATTATTCAATATCAAATAGCTAAAATCAAGGATAATCTCAATCCTAATGGTGTGGCTCAGTCGACCTATAAATCAGGAGGTCACTGTTCAATTCCCAGTCAGGGCACATGCCCCAATTGTAGGCGTGGTCCTCAATACAGGGCATGCAGGAGGCAGCTGATCAATGATTCTTATTATTGATGTTTCTATCTCTCTCTTCCTCTCCCTTCCTCTCTAAACTAAATAGAAATATATTTTTAAAAGAATAATTGCAAATATAGAAGTGCATCCTAAAACTGGGGTAAGGTGGAATGGTCTTAATAAAATAAGCATGAAATGCTTTTTTGAAAACATACCAAAACTTTCTAATACACCTTTGTTAGATTTGTGGGCAACATTAAGTTTGTATGAGCATCCACTTAAGAAAAGCAGATGACTAATGCTCTCCATGACAGCACAGCAATGTCAGCATAAAGTTTTACCATCTTTGAGTATCCTAAACATGGAATAATAGCTCTGGCTACAGGAGACCCAGATCTGGCTCCTTGTCTACCTCCCACAAACCAGCTCCCTTCAGTGGAGCCACTGTGGGGTTAGAGTATAACAGATGTGCATAAATAAAGTATAATTTAGCTAGAAGTCTCTACTTTCATGTATCTGGCTTTGCTGAAACTAAGGAGAAACTGGATATAAGAACACCTAATAA